TATATATATATATGCTATTTTCGAGAGAAAAAAGATTTACAATTGATTAAAAATTCTGACATAATAACTTATTTTATTTTATTTTCAAATAATCAGATATAAGATATAATAATAATAATAATCAGGTCACATTGAGTACTCTGTTATCTATTGATAACGTTTATCAATTTGGTAATTTATATAAATAATTTTCTGCTTTAACCTACGAACACAAATGTATTATATGAATTTCAATTTATTTTGCTAAATTTTTTATTGTCCACAATAAGAAATTAAAAAAGAGATGCTTCCAAATCGCCATTGTTTCTTCCATCTCTTTCAATGTACGAATAAGCAATAAAAGTGGAGAATCATAAAACTGCACTTTTTCTTTTTTTTTACTTCAATCCAGATTTTGCCCTTGTTTATCTACCATGGGCAATTGGCTATCCATAGCCAGTTACAGATTTGCTCCGCTTCGTGGAAATGTAAGCCGGATGGGCAGGACAAAATAATAGGCGTGCTCTTGCTGCATGAAAATTTGTTACAGTCATCTTTATATGACAGAAGAATCGATTTATCCTTAGGTACATATTACATATTGTTGGATCCAAAATTGGATACTTACCGACGCAATTAGATTTATCAGCCTTTTCCTCATCTATCTGATTCAGTCTCTGGGTTCATTCTGGGGAAACGTCTGCGGACGGCCAATCACATTGCTTAATAGTGCTATTGAAATGCAGACCATCGGAACACTTGTAAATTGTGCTTTTACCGTCCTGACAAATGTAAAATAGATAATATTCCTTCGGATGAGGCAATATGCCTGAGGACGGACAGGTGCCTTCAGGTGCCTTCACAGATACTCTAACAATAACTGCCAAGGCAACAACAATTACCACACAATAACCTGTAAATTATAAAATATATTTTCAATTATCGAATAGAATTAGATTTTTTTAACATTCTCATTTGCATATTTCTTGATGGCATTATCAAAGTGATTTTAATCCTGTTGCGAAACAAGGAATAAATTTTATCGACTTTTATAATCGAGAACACTACCGCGACGTATAAGATTTGTCTCGCCAATACACGTTAAATACAGTGATGATAGATCTATCTTTTACTGGAAATTTAACTTAGACTTGACCCATTTCTATCAATATAGTTTAATTTTAATCTCGGTTTGACTAATTCTTCTTTTTTTCAGTTCTGAGAATTAGAAAAAAATAAAGAGTAAGTTGAATTGAGATTAAAGTTACTCTATACTGATAAAAACGGGCTTTAATAGTAAAATCTTGTCCTAGTTCTAAATGGATTTTCGAATGTTGATGAAAAAAGAAGATAGAAAACAAACTTAATCGCGTATGATATAGATCGTGCACTTCAATATCTGACAAATAATTTGATATTAAACTTGTATATACAATATTAAGAACTATTAGTATTAAGAAACTCTAAATCGTTATTATGTTACTTACTTCTGTTGTTGCATATCATGTTAAAGATCATATAAGTCTTCAGAAATTTCTCATTATAGTTATTTATTAAATATTAAAACGTATTATACATTCGATAATTAAAAATACAATAACTGGCTATTGCAACAGAATCGATTTTTATATCAATCATTTTCGTTTGATAATAATCTTGCAGGAAGTGTCATTTCAAAATGATCTAACTACGCAAGCGAAATCGAAAAATTTCTTTATTAGAATTCACGTTGATTTGATTAAATAACACTGATAATTAATTGATAAAATTATTCAGCGTCAATTTCGAAATCAATTCACTTAATCAAAAGTCAAATTATATAAATATATGTATGTATTTCAACAAATTTTTTTAGACAGTGCAATAAAATATCATATGTGCAATACATATGTTTTTATAAATTCGCATTATCTTTACAGTTTTAAAAGTTTTCAGATAATATTCAGAATAAATCATATTTCTTGTTTACGTGTGAATCTTAAGACATAAAAATAAAAATGATATCACAAAGCGAGCAGTTTAAATGAATTCTTTGGGAAATGATCAATCTAATATATGAATACATATATTTGCAATTGTGAGGTTTCACGCGGAAGTCGTTTAGTCTTGAAAGATAATTTTAATCAAAATATGTTTTATTAATAATTGTACGGATCTTTTTGCAAAGAAATGAGAGAAGGAGAAAAAATCAATTAAACATATATAACACACTTACATGTAATAATCTACAATAAAACTATAATTTTATCCAGAACAGTAATCACTTCTTTGCGTACTTAAAATATTTTATTTTCCAATTTATATTTTATTTTCCAATTATGGGTAGACAATAAAATAAACTTTTACGAAAGAAAAAGAGCAAATAAAAGCACGATATATTGTATGTAAAATTAATAAATAATATATGAATAAAAATAATTATATTACGTTAAAAACGTTTACGTATTTCGGCTCGAGTCATTTTCAGAACGCAGATTATTTCAATTATTAAATATTCGTATTAAGCTTATAAACATTTTATGTATATACATACTATATATCTGGTTTAAACCATGCAAAAATAATATGTATGCATACTTGTTTTTAATTTGATCGCGTCTGTATGCTCTTAAATATCGGATTAATTTTTAAAAAATATAAGATTAATAAACTCTCAAATTAAACAAAATAATAATTAAATAGTAGGGCTGATGAAGGGAGAGTTAGACGCAGATCTCGGTGAAAAAATCAATTGATGTAAAATAATCGACAAAGTTTGTTAGAGACACATACATTTGAATATTTCGTTTTAATTTCGAGTCATCTTCAGTAATAAGTATTAAAAAATATTCTCTACTGTACGTGGCGAAATCGATTCTGGATCTTCAAATATAAATGAGTATTGGTCACAACTGATTGGTCAATTGAGTAATCTAGAATGTAAAAAAATATGGATGGATTTAACACCATGCGATGTTAATGTGATTTTCACTATATTAATAATTATTGTATTTACAAACATCAATATGGATTTAACGCTAAGTTTTTAAATTACATTATGTTGGTATTGATATTATTAATAAACAACACAGTGAGAATTATATTTATATCTCTCACATAGTGAATCTATACTTTTTTTAGAATATATGAGCTACGATAATTGTAAAAAATATGAATGGATTTAACAGTTGCAGTGTTAAAGTAATTTTCATTGTGTTAATATAAACATCAATATGGATTTAACGCTATACAGTTTTTTAATGTACAGTTTTTTAATGTGTTTTTATGTTAATATTGATATTAATATCAACATAGTGAGAATTATATTTACCGTATGGTATTAAATCCACACCTATATTTTTTAGAATGTATGAGCTACGATAACGCGGCTTAAAAAAATAATGATTATATAAAAATTCTATAATTTTATGAAATACGTCAGCTAAGTTAGAAAGCAGTTTTCAATTATCAAATGAAATAAAGAATAGAAAACTAAAATTGAAACGAACGAATAACAGTTTATAATACATCGTGAGAAACGGTATAAAAATAAATAAGCATGGAAAGAGGTCCGTAAAATTAATAAGCCAATAGACAATCAGCAATAAAAATGTTTAAATGTCACGAGTTGTCGGAAGTTAAAAAAACATCAGTAATTAAATAATATAAAAATTGAAAGTAAGTAAGTAATCAAATAATAAATCATACTCACAAACACACACACACAGACGGTGTGAAATATAAAAAAATAAATAAATAAAAATAAACTCGTAAAAATAATAAACGGTAACAGTAATGTCATACGCCTTTTGTTTTATAAGAGCAAAGCGAATGTGAAATATTATACATATATGTTTAAAAATTGTCTAATTAAATTTGATATTTTCCGATTTCGCTCGCTTTATCAATACTGACAATTGAAATAAATATCGAGCGACGTCACGTTATCGATAACGACAAGGTTGCACGGGCTATGTCTGAATTTTTGTGATAACACAAAGTTCATCGATTGAAAGATCAAGATGCGCTCTAAATTATCACTACATCAAGTCATAAATTTTTATTTCATATTAAAGATTATTACGAGACGATAGGATACGAAGTAGAGCTCTAAATCTTCCTCAGAGTACAAGATCGTAGTTTACGCGTTAAACGCGCAGTCACGCATGAATTACGATTAACCTTGTAAAAAATATAAATAAAGGTTGCGTCGATTCAATCTGTTAATTTGCATGCATGCAATCTTTTTTCTTTACAAATACATCTGTTATTTTTATTGAGTTTTTATTTACAATAAATTTTTATCGACGTCACAACGATCGATAAGTATAACTTAATTATCTGCGTTTAATGAATATATAGTAAAAAAATTATATATTTCATGTTATATTAAATTGAGAATTCAAAATAACTATATGAAAATTTCCGAAATTAATAGATTTAAATTTTTGACCAAATATCGTATTTCTTTTTTATCATCTATGATCTAATTTATTTTTTATCACTTTTGATGCTTCGATAACGTTGCTTCGAACATTGACCTGCTATTAAATTCTACAACTAAGATAAACTGATATCATTGATAATATCATTGATAATATCGTCGCTTTGTCTAAAACTCGGGGCAATTTAGTATAATCGTATGATAATGTAGATATAATTGACGATAAACAAAAATATATTTTTTTTATTTAATTTAAGATTATAGAAAAACTTGGAAATTACAGATATAATACTTTT